GAATAAAAAATGCTCGCTGAATTTGGTTGGGTGGACGTTTAGATATCTTCGATCAAAATCTTGCACAATCCAAATCGCCTATTAAGTAGAAACTGCAGTAGATTTTTCTTAAACTTTGATCAAAGATATCTCGACACCTAACCCATCAAATTCGATAAGCTTTTTTTTTTTTGTATTGGATTTGGATAAAAAAAGCTTATCGAATGGACATCTCGATCAGAGTGTTATTTTTGATTCGGAAAGGATCGTCTATCACGTGATCGAGAAAAATTTCTCAAAGGCAAATGTCAATCGGTTTTGCAAGTTTGAAACTGGGTCCAACCATCTAATACAATTATGAGATATAGAGATAATACAGTAATAGTAATAGATAGCAAATAAAGCCTAATAACATTACCGTTTCCTGCTCTCATAATATATAGTATAGAAATATGGAGATCCAATTGGGATCCAACTTTCAGTCAACTGCATTGCCAGAAGTTTCGAATGATCTTGTGCTTCAAGAAGATTTGACAGAAGAGGTACTGAAAGTTTAGTGTTTTTTTATTAAATTCATCACAAACTAAAACATTGCTTCCTAAAAGAATTCCGATGTTTGGGACGATAGCGCCTTAATAACTGCCTGGGATCATGCTGTTAAGGAATACCAAGTAATCAACTGGTTAACTTCGCTTTACAGTTGATTAGGCTTTTACTTTCCGCTGAACGTTCGTTTCTTAGTCTTTTCATAGCATTAAAACAGAAAAAACTACCAATAAAACTGATAACATTAAAAATAAAGGAGCTTTATCAAAGAAAACTCAATCAACAAGGTAAAATAATAACTTTCACATGCACATCGTAATAATTAAAAGATTAATTACAATCTTAATTTTAATAAACAATGTCTAATAGTGACAGTGAGTCAGGAGAAGCTTCAACGCCGATTTCCGCTATTTACAATACTTCATCCAAACAAGACAGCAATGAAATTAAACGTTCCCAAAGTGTGAATCGAGGTGGTGAATCTGCATTAAAAA